GCTGTCAATCTTCACAGAAGCAAAGCCCAAACCACACCCACTGCCATGGAGTTGATTCTGACTCACAGCGCCCCTAGAGGACAGAGTGGAACTGCCCCACGGGGTTTCCAAGGCGGTTAATCTTTATGGAAGCTTTCTCACCCAGGTGAATGCTTGGTGGGTGGCTGGTAGGTTTAAATTGCTAATCTTCTGGTTAGCATCCAAGAGCTTTAACCACTGCACTACCAAGGCCTCCAGTGTTGTGCAAATAGCCCTGACCATGGTGTCTGCCCCAGTCTGAGCTGTCAGTGTTTTAGCTCTGGGAATCGTATGCAAAGCCTGTAGGCTGTTTTCTCATATTCAAAGTGGAAGAAATCACACCAACTGGCTTATCTCAGAGATGATCATGGGAGTGCTCTTAAGAAAATCGAAAGGACTATTCAAAGGCATGCACTGAATTCTCAGACTCTCTGGGCTGTTAGAATTGTGTGTGTGTGATTAAAACCAAACTGAACCAAACTCGGTGCCATCCAGTAGCTTCTGACTCTCTGAATCCCTACAGGACGATGTAGCACTGCCCGATATAGTTTCCAAAGCTGTTCATCTTTAGGAAGAGACCCACCACATCTTTCTCCTGTGAAGCCCCTGGGTGGGTTTGAACCCCTGACCTCTGGGTTAGCAGACAAGCACATAACCACCTTGCCACCAGGGCTCCTCCCTTTTTTGTCACGCGCGCGCACACACACACACACACACACACACAAACCAAACTCACTGCCATTAGTCATTTCTGACTCATAGTAACCCCTCCTTGGGTTTCTGAGGCATTACTCTATGGAAGTAGATTGCTCAGTCTTCCTTCTGAGGAATGGCTGGTGGGTTTGAATCACCAGCCTTCTGGTTAGCAGTCAAATGTCTTCGGCACTATGCCACCAGAGCTCCCAACTGCAACAGTATATATGTAACAGAACATTCACCAACCCAGTCTTCACATGTGCTGGTCCATGGCGTTGAGTATGTTCATCACGCTGTAAACCATCCCACTATCCATTTCCAAAACTTTCCACCTTCCTTAGCAGGAGCTCCCATTGACCTTACTTGTTCAAGGGCTTTACCACTAAACACATTTACATGATAGCATAATTATTATTATTATTCTCACCCAGGATGTCTGGGCCACCAGCATTTTGACTTCTTTTCTGTTACAGACCCAGAGTGTGTGCAAAGTTTTCCATCTTGAATTAAGCTGTTATGCGAATCTCATCAGTTCTATGCACGTAGGAGGGCCAGCGACCAAAAAACAAACAAACAAACAAACTCACTGCCATCAAGTGGATTTCAACTCATAGCCGTTCCCTTTCGGTTTCTGAGGCGATAAATCTTTACCAAAGCAGATTGCCCATTCTTCTTTCCACGGAGTGGCTGTTGGGTTTGAACCGCTAGCCTTCTGATTAGCAGTCAAATGCCTTCGGCACTATGCTACTAGAGCTCGTTGGAGGGCCAATGGGCAGGGGGATATTGGTTATGAAAATCCCTAAGCTACTCACTTTAACAGAATCAGAGGAGGAAAAAAATCAAGGAAAGAGAGAATCAGGAGAAAAGAGAGCCATTCCTTCTTCACAGGGAAGAATAGAAGATAACCACGCGACCACAACACTCAGTGGTTTTCTCTTTTCAATGAAATTGTCTAAGAGAGGGCATTACGGAGCTTCCCTAGAGTGAGGAAAGAGGTGGAGTGGTTAAGATATTTGGCTGCTAACCAAAAGGTGGGAGTTCTGGTAGCATAGTGCCTAAGGTACTTGACAGCTAACCAGAAGGCTGGCGGTTCAAACCCACCAGCCACTCCTCGGAAGGAAGGTTGGGC